AAGATCTTGGTTGCCAGCCAATGGGATTTCTGATTGGATCCTAAGGGCTCTGAGCTCATCAATGGCTTATTCATTGGGGATTTTCTAACTAATTGGAAGGTGATGGCAACTCTATTTTAGGCAGCTGGGTGTGTCCTCTTGGGGCCTAGATCTGAAGCCCCCCCACCACCCCCCCATCCCCCGTTTCTATCAGCATGCCCTTCCAACATGATGTTCTGCCTCACTACGGAACAGCAGAACAAAGTGACCCTGGCCTGATACATCTTAAACTTTGACCCTAAATAAACATTTCCTCCTTTTAATTGTTCAGGTAATTTATCACAGTGATAGAAATGTAACATCTGGGTAACTTAACTGCTTCCTGATGTTTCTGCTGTTGAAAACACCCTACTACAGATTAAGGAAGTTAAGAAGACAGGAGGTGTATTTGTCCCACTTGGAGGTGAAAGCCCACACATTGTTGCTGGCTCTGGTGATTGACAGTTCTCTGATGATTGGCAGTTACCTGGTTGATAGTCTCCCACGGTGGTGCAGTAACAACTTTGAGACAGGGACCATCTTGTGTTGTATCCTCTAATCTCTCTCTCTCTCTCTCTAAAGCCACAGATACAATTGGGAGGGTTCCGCCTGTGACCTTATTCAATCTTAACTGACCCCCACCCCTACAATCCAAGGTTGGATTCAATCTCTAGCCTGTGAATACCTCACAGTGGAGGTCAACTTTCAACAAGTGTCTGAGGGGCAAACATTCAAATTCACAGCTGGGATTGTCAGGGGCTGGGTGATGGAACAGAGCGGGTCCCTTTATGTAGGTCAGACTTTAGTGGGGATCTTGATAAAGGTCATCTGTACATGCTCAGCTTTTATTTTTCAGTGAGGGTCCCAAGACAGAGGAAACCGAGTAGAGGCTGCAGTACCTCTGGAGTGCAGGGCATGGCTTTTGGGTGCTCACCCCCCCCCCCCCCACATTCATGTTGAGTCTGCTATGGCTGGCTTATTTCCCTCAAGATGAGGCTTTCAAAAGCTCAAGTAAACAGCCTTTCATAACACCCGCGTAGGAGTGTTTATAGGTGCACGTGGGTGTCTATACACGTGACTGTGTGTGAGTAAGCTCAGTTTTCTTTTTTTTTTTTTAGAGTAAATATCTTTTGTAAAACAAGTCAGAAATATACAGATAATAGGTTTTTAGGGTAAAGTTGTGCAGATGATGTTTTGGTCAGAGGTACAAAACTTGACTGGGGAATATTAAAGGACAGAGATAACACACTTCACATGACAGAGCATCAGGGTGTTTGGTTTATTTTGCTTCATAGCTCTAGTTATCTCTGTGACGTCTACAAGAAAAAAAAGGACGTTTCAAGAAGCCCCTGAGATGACTCTCCATTCTCTCCTGTCCACATTTTGTCACAGTCATAACTCAGAACACAACAATTCTATAAAATATGTCCCACAACAGCCAGCCTGACTCGGCAAGGGGCCTCAAGAAGAGGAATGGCAGAACAAACCAGAGCTGGCCTTTCTCAAGACGCAGACTGCAAAGGAGTTTCAAAATAAGATTCCCCACAGATCGGCAAAGCTCTTCCGAATCCACAACTGATGGAATAAGAAGGAACTTACACAAGTCTACAATCAAGTCCAAGGCAGTTTCCAGCAGGAAGCTTTGATTTGCCTGTCCCAACTACAAGGTCCCCAGCCTCTGTCCTAGGAAATGAAATGACCATGGAATCTTCCGGAGGATTGGGTGTAATGACGCCTGACACCATTGCTGACACTTTCTGTCTAAACCACATGGCGGGTACTCAGACTGTGGCTTTTCTGTTCTCAAATGTGCAAAGGAGGCTGGAAAGAAGCCTGTTAACTTGTCTGGTTCACAGTGCTCATCCCTGGGAACGTCTGAACGGAAGCCCAGGTTCTTCCTATTAACCAGGACATGCCCTCAGCTCTAAAGCCTGTCTCTCCTCACGCAGTCCAGGTGCCCCCGCCCGCCACATTCCCAGGGTCTGATTTCCTGAGAAAATCCAAGTATCAGGGTATGTGGTGTTTTAAAGGTTTGCTTCCTGACACTTGGCACCTTAGATTGCTGTACAGTGCTCAGCTAGTTGCTGACAACTGACACATTTGTACTCGTAGACGCTGCTCACGCTAGCCATTTGTAAATCAGGTCCAGGCTAGTCCTGCACTTCCAGTCTCTCTTTGGACTCTTCTGACCAAAAGAATTCCACTGGATGATGAAGGATCAGAACAATGTGGTTGGGCCATCAAAAATATAACTCTGTCATTTGGAGGCTTTTTTTTTTTTTTTTTTTTTGTATTTTTTTTCCCCAGCCTGGGTCCAGAGCAAAATAAACGAAACAAAACAAAACATCAAAACAACAACAACAACAACAAAAACCCATGAACTATAGATGCATCTAGAAAGGAAACGGTTCATTACTACAATATAATCTAACAAAAATTGCCATGGGAATCCAAATCTAGGTGTTAAAATTGGGAGGTCACTAAAAGGTCATGCCATAAAAGCATGTTGGTTTCTGGGGTCTAAATAGATTTAAGGACATCTGCTCATGGACATGACTGTCACTGCCTGCTACCCATTCCCTCCAAGGACCGGAAGCTACACACGCAAGCTCCACCCCTTAAACCTCATTTGTCCCCCTCACACTGTGTTATGGGAGCCAGTAAGATCGCCCCCAGATTCTCCACCTCCCTGATGCCTGGCTTCCTGGTAAGGCAGTTAGCCTCTCTCCCTTTCCTATTGCAAACATTTCTCTGGGCATCACGTCGCATGGGGCTGTTTAGGATCCTGCTGGACACTTATTCCAGGTTCACATCCAGCCTTTGGGAGGTTGAGAACTTACACACCTTGGAGGCTCCTTTTTAAAAAACCAGAATGAGCTGGGGCCTTACATTTAATCCAGCAGAGGCAGGCAGATCTCTGTGAGCTTGAGACCAGTCTTGTCTGCATAGTAGATTCCAGGTCAGCCATAGCTCCATACTGAGACTCTGTCTCAAAAACAACCCGCCCACTCAGGGATACAAAACTATAATCACAAAATGAAGTACAGGGACTTGAAGGCTCCATGCGAGTGAGAGGGGAGGGGTGGAGGCCCTTGCTCTGGTCAGGTCACTTGCGGAGGGAAGTGAGAATAGTAGGTGGTATGTAATTCTCAGGGGATGAGAGACCTGTGCTGAGAATGAAGGAAGTAGCTGGGTGGCTCCTTCCAAACGATGTTACAAAACCAAACCCCTCACTCGTTGGGTCCTGAAAAATGGTTTACTGCAAGCGCTATCTCTTCCCCAGTGACCTAAATAAAAGGCAGGCCGCTGGGTGGTGCACGCCTTTAATCCCAGCACTCAGAGGAAGAGCCAGGAGGATCTCTGTGAGTTCAAGGCCAGCCTGGACTACCAAGTGAGTTCCAGGAAAGGTGCAAAGCTACATAGAGAAACCCTGTCTCGAAACAAACAAAGAAACAAAAGAAAAGTCAGGCCAAGGCCAGATATTGTGCCTGTGAATTCCTGCTCCTCACCAAGTCCAATGGAACACAAGCCCCATTACCCAAGCATTGCTAAGCTCTCCACTCCCCAGGCGAGGAAGTTGGCTCACCCTCTCTAAGAAGAGCTTGGTCCCTGGTACAGTGCTAGAGCCACATTCCAACACTTGGTGCTGAGCCAGGAGACTCTCATAAACGATTACATCACCCCTCCCATGGTTGCGGGGAGTCGATCCCCTGCCACAACCCTCCCTAATAACGCCTGGCCTTAGGAGGTGCCAAAGCAGGCTTCTCTGAGATGTTTAAACAGACAGGGCTGAGGTTGAAGTAGGATTTTGGGTATTGGGTTTTGTTTTGTCCTTTAAATAGCTATTTTTATCCATGAGAGAGAAAACAGAACCATGGGTGTGCCTGCATTATCTAGACTTGGGTGTCCAACCTTTTGACAGTGTGACACAATGTATTTATTATCCACAACGCTTATCCTGGCGAATCATGAAATTGTTTTTAAAAATTTGCAAAAAAAGAACCCCCGCCCCCAAACCCCTCATGTTTGAAGTCGGCTTCTGATTTTGTGTTGAGCCACATTGTACCTATCCTTGGCAGTGTGCTGCCCACCGGTGCAGAACTGGACACTCCTGGCAAAGAATTAAACAAGGCACAGAAGGGGCATGGTTGGTTGGCCCTCCCCAATCCAGACGCAGCAGGGCTTTCCTTCGCCCCCAGTAGCAATGGGGGGCAAATGGCACGGGCCTCGCTTCAGTCCGGCGGGAATGGCAGACAGTACCCTGGATCATCAGATATCTTACTTCAAACAGTGGTGCTATTCCCACAAGGTCAGGCCTGGAGGAGAGCATTACAGGTCCACGTGTCCAGGCCACCCATGGCCCCTCGCGCGTTCCCCTCCTCGTGGGCCCGGTGTGCCTGGGGCTGGAGGCTTGCACGCACGCACGCACGCCCGTGCCTAAAGCAAAGGAGCCTCAGGTGCGGGAGTTGGGGGTGAGGGTGGGGGTGCGGAGGTGGGGGGAGGGGTGGGCTACAAGATGAGGGGGCGTGGCTTTGTGTGTGGGGTGGGCGACAGGGCGCAGGGCACGAGGTGCACCAGGTGGGGTGCAGCGTGATGGGGGGGATGAGGTCGGAAGGTGGGCTGGGGCGTGGGGGGCGTGTCCCTCCCAAACGGGGGAGGTCATGCTTGCAGCGAGTCGGTCAGGTGGGCGTCCGGAGCCGCAGCGTGGGGTGCGTGTCTGTCAGGGCCGAACCGGTTGAGACCTGTTCTCTTTGGGGGGGGGAGGGGAGGAGGCACAAGGCACCGGGGTCGAGTCAGTCGGGAGGGGTCGGGAGCTTCAGGCAGCGTGGGGACTTTTCCGGCTGGGCCCTTGGGGGGGCGTGTCCGCCTGGGGCTGCGGGGCGTGGCTTTGGGGGTTACGGGGCGGTGCCCGCCCGACGGGCGGAAGCCCGGGCTGGAGCGGCTGCGGCGGGCAGTCGGGCTGTCGAGCCGGCGCGCGCGCGGAGGCTGCTGGGAGGCTGCGGAGCCCTGGGCAGCGCGATGGCAGCGGCACCGGCGGCGGCGGCGGCTCGCGGCGCGCTCCCGGGCCGGCTCTCCGTGCTGGCTTGGGGCCTGGCGCTGTGGTGCCTGTGCGGGGCGGGCCCGCTGTGGAGGTGAGCGCCGGCGCGGTGCAGAGCCGGCCGGCCGGCGGGGCTGGAGGCTGGTGGCTAGGCGAGAACGAACGGTGCCCTTCTTCCTCTTTTCGAAGTCTTCCAGCCGGGGGGCTGCCCCCGCCCCCGCGCGCTCTCACGCGCCCCTTAGTTCTCTCTGGGACACACGGGCGAGCTCTTGGTAGTCTGTCCGCTTACTTCAGTTCTGCCAGGTTAATCCCCGAACGCATTTTGACTTTTCCCCACTCTTCTGCGTTAACAGTTGATCAGTAGAACTTTTTTTGTGTGTACACCACTGGAGCGGAAAAGGGAGGGCTTAGTTGCTCGCACGAAGTACTGTGTTCCCAGAGAGTTACTGAAAGCTAGTTGCATGTGTTTGCTTTTATATTTATCTAAAGTAGGGCCCATTCATCGGTGGCGAGGCGTGGTTGTGGTGTGCATGGTGTGTGTGTGCAAGCAAAAGTTAGTCCCTATCTAAGAGTGTGATCTTGGAGCCCTACTGCTCGCAAACCTGCCCCGCACAGCACAGTTAATACCTGTGAGCAGCTAAGATATAGAAAATAGAAAAGTACTTGGTGCAGTGAGGGTTAGCTGAGGATCTTAGGCTGTAGTGCTCAGTTCTCCTTTAACCAGCCTAATGTATGCGGCTGATAGAATGGTGAGGCATAGGGTTAAGGTAAGCCCCAAGGCCAGGTGAATCCCTTGTATTGAGTTTCCCTTTAGCTTCCCAGTGACTTCCCCCTGGAGTACTGGAGTACCGCGATCTCTTATTAAACAGACGTGCCGCCTTCTTGTCTGAATTACAAATAGAGATAGTTTGGTTGAGTTTTATTCTAAGCCTGCTGTCTTACCTCCCCAGCTCAGTGTGACCCTTTGCAAACAAAGTTTCTGTAGTGGGGATGGCCAGAGCTTTAACTTTCAATGTGTTCCGTCTCTTCTGTGGAGAAGGCTTTCATCATCCGTGTAGGCTTTTATGGCAGTTGTCAGGATCCCAGGAGAACTACTGTAATTCTGTCCAAGGGCATACCACCAGTGACCTAATTCGTCCCAGTCGGTCCCATTTCTTGAAAACTCCCCCATTGTTGCTTAAACACGTGGATCATTGGGGACAACCACACTACAGCTCCACAGTCCTCCTGGGAAGTCTCTGGCTTGGGAGAGCCTCCATTCACAGGCTTGTGATATAAGCAGTTTGGTCCAGGTAACATGACAAGGCATAGAGCACATACCATGCCCTAGATAACATGTAACAAGGCTGCTTCCCCGGGTTAGGCTGTGGCTAACGCACATGACTGGGGATCATGCACAGGCCAGGCTCTAGGTAGCATATCCATAGTGGTCTCTGAGGTAGCACCCCATGAGCAGGGTGGTGAGTGGAGTTAAGTGCGGAATATGATGTTGACAGTACTTTTGTGCTATTTCAGGTCATGTTTTGCCACATGAATTGCGGAGGTGGGGTAAACTTTTAGAGCCTCAGGAGTTCACAGAGACAGCTAAGGGATTATGAGTGTGTATTCATATAAACTACCTGAGCATCCTGAAAAGGACAGCTTGTTACTCAGTTACTTTCCATCCGCAGGCCTTCCTGGCTATATCCCTGGCCCCCACCTGTCCTCTTCCATTGTGTTTATATTCTCCCTTACTCAAAATAGGTGCCACGGTATACATGTTCTTAGAGTGTTCTCTGCCTTCCTCTGTGGTGTGTACTTCAGGAGGTAGGGGACTGTGTTCCTGGTAGTATGTCTAGTCCCGTAGACTCTCCGTGTTGAAGGAGTGGTTGATGGCATGGGTGAGCTTCTGCCACTTTAAAACATCCTTGAAAAACCTGTTTGTCTTTTAACAGTGGCAGCCACGAGTGGAAAAAACTAATTCTGACCCAGCACTGGCCCCCAACAGTCTGCAAGGTGAGCGCTGTTTTGATCCACTAAACCTGTATGAGTTGCTTTCTATGCACAAGTGTCGGCCTTGTATGTCAGGGGTATTATTAAATCTGCAGTGGCTGTAGTGTGACTAGACCTCCTGACAGGTGACTTGCATGTGTTGGATTCGGGGGGTAGGGTGGCTTAGAACATTGGAAGTACGCTCCCTCTCAGTACTGGAGCTGGAAGCCGGAAACAAAGGCAGTAGGACTAGTTCTTCTTGGGAGCCTTTGTTCCATCCTCTTGCCCAGCTCCTACTAGAGATGACAGTCCTTGGTGTCCTAGACTTACCCGTGCACTGCTCCAATGTCTGCCTTCTTCACGTGGTGTATTAAGTTATTTTTCTTGTTGCCATGATGAGATACCATGACCGAGGGAACTTGTAGAAGCAAGAGGGTTTTTTTGTTGGAACTTAGTTTCAGAGGGTTGGAGTCCATGACCATCATGGAGGGGAGCATGGTGGCCAGGTGACCGGTGGGCACAGTGCAGGAGCAGTAGCTGAGTGCTCACATCTTGAGATACAAACAGGAGGCAGAGAGAGAGATACTGGGAATGGCATGGGCTTTTGAAACTTCAAAGCTCACCTCCAGCAGTAAACCTCCTTCAGTAAAGCCATACCTGCTCCTTCCCAGAGTCCACCAGTTGGGGACTATGGGACTATGAGCCTGTGGGAGCCAATCTCATTCAAACTACTACACTTAGCACCCCCATCTCTCAGGAGAACAGTAATTTGATTTAGGGCCAGCCTGACCTAGTAGGACCTCATCTTATGTGGGAGTCTGTGAGAGTCCAGCTCTGACCTGCTCCCACCTTTCGAAGGGTTCTTGGGTGGAGGAGAGTGGAATGAGAAAACATGAGGTAGAAAGATAGACCTAGACGACGAGGAGAAAGACAGAGACACGGGATAGCTTCGCAGGGGCCTGGGTCAATACCCAACAGCCCAGAGCTTTATTCAGAAGGGCTTTTTATAATATGCCAAGGGGGGAGGCAGAAGACCTCCCCCTTGCAAGATCAAAGCACACCATACAGCCAAGTGTAGCTGTGGGGGACCTGCCCCCACCTTTTACCCCCAGGATACTCTCGAGGAGTGAGGGATAAAAGATTTATTTAGCTAGAAATACGGAGGGGAGAGAAACAGATAGAAACACAGGATAGCTTCGGGAGGACCTGGATCCTTATCCACTGGCCCAGAACTTTATTCAAAAGGGCTTTTTATAACAGTGCCATGGGGTGAGGCAAAAGACCTCCCCCTTGCTAGATACAGCCAAGTGTAGACCCTTCCAGACACCTGTCACCCAGGCCCGTGGTCCAATCATCCTCTTATGCAGCCCTGCTGGTAAAGCAAGCGCAGATCTCACTAGGAAACCTCTGTGGGCTCCCACAAGTAGCCCCTTCCACACACCTGGTAAACACGCCGTGGGCAAAATCATCTCCTTATGTAGCCCTGCTGGGTAAAGCCAGCTCAGATTCTCTGACCCTGAGTAATGGGAGCTCCCACAATCTTACTTTGATTATATCCTTAAAGACCCTATTTCCAAATGAGGTGATGTTCACAAGTAGGCAGTTTTGGACAGAGTTCTATATCTTTGGAGGACATGGTTCTGCCTTCAATAGGCCTGCACTGATTTCTTCGCTATGTGCTACTGAGGACTTGTGTCTTTTCAGGCTGTCAGTGCTGAGGCTCTTGTGTCGGAGTGCTGCCAGCTGGGGGTCGTGGGCTGGCTCATCCTTGTGGGTGGGTGGCTTATAAAGCTGATCCTGGAGTTGTGTGTGAAATCTAGAGTGTTTTGTCATATTGCTGACTGGGCATCAGCCTTGTTGATAGTTTTTCTGAAAGCCTGTTTGAGTTTAAAATTTGGGGACTCTTAATTCTTCAGCATACACAACGTATCCAGCGGCTTTGGTGTAGTTTGATCATCTCTTGCGGGGCCGAGAGCATTCTTGCTTCTCGTCTCATTCCCGGTCTTAATTTCCTGTTGACAATGAGGTGACATTTCAGTTGTTGCCAAGTCACACTCTTGACCTGGAAGCTTAGAGCAGCGCTCTTACCACAGCACACCAGTGTGGTTCCCTGGCTCTGGTCGGGGCTTGGAGTGGGAGTGTGTGGAAGGGAGCTGTAGGTGGGGGTTTAGGTGGCCTGGACCTCATTGACTCTGCTCCGAGCAGGGGTGGCTAGACACCGTGGCTCCTGTCCCAGGACCCATGTGAAAAGAAAGCTCTGCTTCAGGCCAGCACTAGAGGAGGTGCCCTCAAGGAGGCCACAACTGGTCTGGCCTGTCTGAGGACGTATGGGTGTGCTGTTCCTCGGCAGGGCTGCGAATGTGGGTGGAAGTGCCTTCCTGCCTTAGCTTCAGGAATTCAGTTCAAAAAAGGAAATCAGTCACTAGAAAGGTGTCATGGTTGAGCAGTGTATTTCAAACCGTGGCCACTGGTTGTGTGTGTGTGTGTGTGTGTGTGTGTGTGTGTGTGTGTGTGTAAATGTGTGTGTATCCCAAGTTCTGTTCTGTTTCATCCAATTTGGTAGCCCAAGTATATTTATTTCTACTATCAATTATTGTGGAAAAATTTCATCTTAGCCCACTGGGAGGGCCCTAAAAAGGTTTTTTATCTTACTGAGATTTTTATCTCTGATTTTATCTTTATGATTGAAGTCAAAGGTACACTCCTGTTTTCACTCCATTATACTTGGCTTCAAGTGTTCAGTACTTACTGCTTTCCTGGTGTGTTTGGGTCTGGTTCCAGAGCAGGCTTGAGAGTCTCAGAGAACCAGGTTGTCTTACACATTTGCTTCTGGTAAGTAGATTGTTCATAGGTAAATGTGCATATCCATATCTGGGAATGTACAAAAAGAGCAAAACTAGCCACCTGATTCTCTGTCAGCTCAGTTGCCTGAGGACTGACCTAGGATGCCCAGCCCTGAAATTTCCTCATGAGTGTGATGCTTAGAACAGACTTACACAATGCTAACACCGGATTTACCTTCTAGTAGTAATGTACCCATGTCTGGTTGATGTACGTTAAAAGAAAATGAAGTTGATAAATATTTAAACAACCAATCACCTTCCTTATCTGTTTTTTTCTCTAGGAAGTTAACAGCTGCCGAGATACTCTGGATTATTGGACAATACATGGACTATGGCAAGCATCTGATGCAGTAAAACCTAAATAAATAGTTGGGGAAAGCTAGCTTGAGTCCAGTCACCATGATTAGACATGTCACTCTTTTTTTTTTTTTTTTTTTTAAAGATTTATTTATTTATTATGTATACAGTGTTTTGTCTGCATGTATGCTTGCAGGCCAGAAGAGGGCACCAGATCTCATTACAGATGGTTGTGAGCCACCATGTGGTTGCTGGGAATTGAACTCAGGACCTTTGGAAGAGCAAGCAGTGCTCTTAACCTCTGAGCCATCTCTCTAGCCTGACATGTCACTCTTGTTAGAAGTTTATTCAGTTGACCAGATTCATATATATATTTTCATACTTTTGTGTGTGTATGAATGTTTTATCTACATGTATATCCATGCACCATGTGTGACCCGGTGCTTGCAGAGGCCAAAAGTGGGCATTGTCCTTGGGATTGGAGTTACAGGCAGTTGTGCACCACCATGCAGGTGCTGGGAATTGAACACAGATTCTCTGGAAGAGTAACCAGTGCTCTTAAGTACTGAGCATCTCTCCAGCCCCCCTTATCAAAGGTAAATAAGGATCTTAGACCCTTTCTTACTTTGTTCTTGGGACCTATTACAAATAAATATTTAAAACTAAAATGTTAGATCCGTAGATAGACAGATAATCTGTTTTACACACTTTACAAGCGCCAAGTTCTCCACCATGTCTGCATTCTCTTTAGTCGTTCTTTATCTGTGCATACACTTGTGGTACTGAAGTGTGTGCATTTTCCACCTTCAGAGTGGACGTGGCCCATACACCTCAGAACCCTCTGCTAGGGAAGAGCTGGGACTGGACTCAGTCCAGAGCTGTTTCCTTCATTTCCTCTACTGACAATCCAGCCTGTTTGTTTCAAGCTGGGCACGTCTGACTCCGTTGGTTGACTGGCTCGTGTGGAGTGAGGAGTTCCTGACTAGCGTTTCCCTTTCATACGCACATTTTAAGGAAAGTACTTTCTAGTGTCATGTACAAGGCTTCCTGACCAAGGCTAATCTTTCTTCTTTTTCTTAAAATTTGGATTTCAAGGCCTGACAAAGCAGAAGATTGCAACCAATCCTGGCACTTTAACTTAAATGAGATTCAGGTATTGATCTTTTTATTGTACTTCTATTGCAAATAGAATGAACTAGATGAACTTTTTCTTCAAAAGTGTACCTTCACAGTCATGTTTAAAATTACAGGCTACAGAATGAGTTCCGGGAAAGGTGCAAAGCTACACAGAGAAACCCTGTCTCGAAAACACCAAAAAAAAAAAAAAAAATTTACAGGGTCAGGAAGGAATTCCCTGGGACTGAGGCCCTGGGTCTGTTTAGTAATTGCTGCTATCTACCACAACCCCAAAAAGTCAAAAAGGAAAACAAAAATAAAAACAAAAACCACTTTTTCCTGCTTGTCGTAGGTCTGAGTGACTGTTAGAAGCCAGCTCAGGTGGCAGCAGGGCCTGTCCTGGCTGCACAGACCCTGTGCTTACCTGCAGCCCTAGCTAGTCCTTAGCCCCGGGGCCTCTGAGTGAAAGTGGGCCCTTGGTCCGTGTGGTGAGAGACAACTGTGGCTTGGAGAGCAGGCACGTGGTACCCAAGGCTGGTCCTTCTGGCCACAGATGGTATGAGTTTCTGAGTAGGAACTCTGAGCAAGGGGGAAATGGTAGGCCTCTTCAGTATCAGAGTTCCTGTTACAGAGCAGCTCATGGGATTCTAGGTCAGGACTAAGTTGTGAGCTCATGAGAGTTTAACAGAAGTGCCCCTGAGATCCTCGTGGCATATTGAACCTGCCCCTACATACTCAACTTTCCTTAAGGGGCACCAACAGTTCCTGTGTTTGGTCACATGTCACGGTGCCTGGGGTGGCCTGGAGGATGTGGCAGGCCCGACAGGTGAATTGAGAGAGCTGCAGGTTTTGTCGTTGGGGGATAGCTGTCCTTTACCGAGTGTCTGAACATGCACACACTCTAGCTGTCATCTGAATCATCACTGAGCACTTACCATGCTGTCAGTCCTTCTGACGATTTGGGGTGAGTGACGGAGGTCCGCCAGTGACATAGGAGAACTGCACAGACAACTTCAGGCTTCCCTTTTTTTTTCAAGAATCCAGATGCCAAGTCTGTCTGTCAGGCCAGGTCCCCCAGGAAACATGTTGAGGTGAAAGTAGCTAATGAGGCTGACTGTAGCTGATTACCCGATAGTAGCTGACTGTAACTTATTAAAAGTACATTTTTGGGGGATGGAGAGATGGCTCAGTGCTTAAGAGCACTGGTTTTTCTTACAGAGGACCCGGGTTCCGTTCCCAGCACCCACATGGCAGCTCACACCTGTCTGTAACTCCAGTTCCAGGGCTTCCTGACATCCTCACACAGACACATATGCAGGCAAGACACCGATGGACATAAAATAAAAATGAATTATGTGTTTAAAAAAAAGTTCAATTTTCTTAAAACCAAAATTACTCAGTTTCTGTAGAGATTGTAGAAAGTTGGCCAGTACCCACTATATTGCAAGTCATGACATTGAGGTACCAGGGAAAGTTTTCAGTTAGCAACAGTTGAACCTTGGGTAAACCACATTGGAAGTGATAGTGTTGCTGCATAAAGCTTGAACCCAGCCTTGAAAAGGCGATGGGAAAGAGACCACTGAAAATGAGGCCAGGAGAAGGGGGGTTAGAGTACTTTCAGTGAGTTACCTTCCCTCGAAGGAAGGGCGATCCAGAGCAGCAGGGTTGAGCTGCCTTCTGTGTTGAGGGGCCCGCAGGTCTGTAGTAGCCACGCCCTACAGTGTCTCTTTCACAAAGTTCTGGCTTTCTTATGTAGCCTTAGTGTCCAGTGTAGTCTCTCTCCAACAGGAGAGTGCCCTAGGTTGGCTGTAAGTTACATCATCACCCTGGGCTCTGCCGAGAGGTCTCACGATGTGTGTGTGTGTGTGTGTCTGAAGCCAGGCTGAGGGAAGTGGCAGGTGAGGGGGCACGTGAAAGGGACAGCAGACAGGAGGCAGGGCTGTGCTGACATGGGCCAGGGAGGCTGGCTGACAGGATCTTGACATGTGGGGAGCAGGGGAAAGCCAAGTTATCCTTTCCATGTTCCTTCATCTGTATCCTTTACACTGAAGTTCTTTTGTCTGATGGTTGTGTAGATACTGAAAAAAATTAGCTTGAGCCCTTTGGGCCTGGTGTTACTACTGGCCAGGTTAAGAGGGTACGGGCTGCCTTACTCAAAAGCTCCTCTGAAGTCAGGATCTTACATTTGTTTGTTTCATAGCCCTTTGTTTTAGAGCTGTTTTATATTTACAGGAAAACTGAATGCAAAGTTCACACTGAGTGTCCCCCATGGTCACTGTCCATCCACACTGTGATTTTGACAGCTGAGCCTGTATTGATACCGTATTGTTAACCAAAGCACACAGCCTACATTAGAGTGCATATCTTATGTTGTAGTTTTATGGGTCTTGACAAGTCAGGGAAGTGCCCTGTGGAGAGGTGTCACTGCCTGAAGTCCCATGGTCACTTGTCCCCACCTTCTCTTGTCATTCCTGATACCCAAGGTGACCACGGGTCTCCTTGTGTCTCAAGATCTGCCCTTTTCCAGAACGTTGTGTGGTTGGCATTGTGCAGTTCACGGCTCGGTTCAGACTGCTGCTTTCACGCGTGGCAGTACATTTAAACTTCCTCACGTGTTTCTGGGGTTCAGAGGCCATTTCTTCATCATTCTCTTACTTTCTTTTATTTTTTTCCAAGACAGGGTTTCTCTGTGAAGCCCTGGCTGTCCTTGAACTCACAGAGATCCGCCTGCCTCTGCCTCCCAAGTGCTGGGATCAAAGCCGTGCGCCACCACTGCCCAGCCTTACAGTTCTCTTTTAAGAGCTTGTGTTCTCACACGCAGCTCTTTAATGTGCAGAACAAGCACAGAACCATTGGCTCGGTTAAATGGCCAGGGCTCGAGTGCTTTTGTTTAGTATATGAGTTTGTTAGGTCTTGGGTAAACTTTTTGTTTAAATCACATGTAGGACCTTTTGCTAGACATGAAGATCTATTGGCCCGATGTGATTCACCCATCTTCTAATCGCAGCCGATTCTGGTAAGTCTGATTTCTGTTGGCCATGTGCATTTTTAGCACAGGTGTGAAGAATTTCTGAGGGTGTTCTGGATGGCAGCTTGTGGGAGACACAGAGAACAGGTGAGACCCTGTCTCTAGAGGCTGAGCACTGCCTTTTGTCAAGAAATGACTTTGGTATGTAGCTTTGAATGCCTTTCTCCAGTGGGTTAAAAATGAGGTCAGGTGGAATTTATGTTATGAGCTTGTTTTCTAATATATTGTTATTTCACCCATTGCTTCATTTAAAAAGTCCAGTCTTCCAAAATTTAACAAATCAAATGCTTGCATATTTAAAAATCAATCTAAATCAGATACTCACAGAGAGAGAGAGAGAATATGCCTTAAAGGTAGTGATCTCATGGTGACCTAGTCAGAGACAAGGTGAGAGTCTCACAGGGACAGTCTTCTTCCAGGTCAGCAGGAGCTGAACCTGGAATTAACCCAGTTGTTTGAAAAGCATTGTTTTTTTTTTTTTTAAAAGAAGATAAAATCGATTCAACTGAAGGTAATTTTTTTCTACATCTTCCAATGTGAAAATTATTCATATTACAGCTAATAATATCTTTCCAGATATCCTAATTTAGCCTAGAAATATTTCTGTGTAGAATTTTTAGGGGAATTAAAAAGCTTAAGTTTGGTAAAATGCTTTAAAGCAGCAGAATGTAAATGATACCCCCTTCCTGGATCATAGTGTTGAGTACGGCTTTTTCTTGAGTGCGTGCTATTTTGGGATTCATGAACCATAATGTGTAGGTAAACAGAACACTCAGTGAAAGCTTGGGTGATGAATAGTGTACTAGATTGAATCTCGGTTGTCCCACACACTGGATGCTCTCCCACTGAGCTAGACTCCCAGTATTGTTGTTAATTCTGAGAAAGCTGCTCACTAAGTTGCTCAGGGTAGACTTGAACTCACTTTGCAGCCTAGGCAAACCTTGAACTTTCAACTTAGTTTTTGAATTGAATTGAGTGGAAAGTCCTTACTTCAGACTTGAGGAGAATCCCTTATTAGAGGCTGACAGGGAATGGGCTCAGGTGGCCGTGGTGACAAGCCACCCTGCCTCCTCTTTGGTCCTTAGGTAGAGTCATGCATGGGTTGTGCCCCTCTCTGGAACTCCCTGGCTCCCGCATTGGCTCTGCAGAGGACCACGCACTGCTGTGCAGTGTGGCACGTGTCACAAGAGTGACATTTCCTTCTTTCTCAGTTAATTGGTTATTATTTGAGTATATTGGGGTTTTTGTTTGTTGGTTTTTGGTTTTTTTCCGAGGCAGGGTTTCTCTGTATAACAATCCTAGCTATCCTAGAACTCACAGAGATCCTCCTGCCTCTGCCTCCTGAGTGCTGGGATTAAAGGTGTGTGCCACCACACCTGGAGTATGTTGTGATTGTAGAGATGCCCTGGAAGTGTTTGTGTTGGGAAACATGACAGGAGTGAGCAGTGCTCTCTGGAGAGGGTTGAATGTTGCTGGGGCCTGGGTCTTCTGTGAAGGCTGTGACAGGCGCAGTGCGTGTGACAGCTCTGTTCTAGAGGACTCATCTGAGCGTTCTTGCGGTGAATCTCACAGGAAACATGAGTGGGATAAGCACGGCACTTGTGCTGCACAGCTGGATGCCCTCAATTCCGAGAAGAAGTACTTTGGGAAGAGCCTGGATCTGTACAAGCAGCTTGACCTCAACAGGTGTGTACACATCTCACTGCAGGCTTTCCGTCATTGACCTGAGGCCAGGCCGCTGGGAATGAGTGTGCAACACTCCTGCTAATAACCTCTGTGTTATGGTCCCTGAAAGTGGTGTGGTGGGCTCATTCCTGGCCAGTAATTGAGCCCCTGAAATGTTTGACCATTCTGGATTAAGGCCATAGAGTGCACAGACGTAGGCTGCCTCCTGGTGCTGACTTGTCATTAATGAATCAGCCCCTAGGAAGTGAAGACTGACAGGCATGCTGTAACCTCTGAAAAAGTTGCTGCCTTAAGATCATTTCCGAGCATCAATAGATTTTTATATTGGTTGTAGTGCTCCTTGAACAAGTGTGAGGTGGAGGGAAAGGGTCCTTTAAGCCCTAGAGTGAGCCAAATCCATGGGGAATATATTGTCACCACACCAAGGTAGTGAATATATGAGAGCAGCATGGTCTGCAAGGCTAGTGCTCTGGCCTGACCTTTTCATCTAGACATTTCTGTTGTGCCAAGTGTATTAAGTGCTTCTTATTTGTTTATTGTTTGAACTTGTTATTTATTAGGGGTGTGCGTGTCTGTGTGTGTGTGTGTGTGTGTGTGTGCGCGTGCGCGCACGCGCGCGCGCGCGCTAGAGAGTTTGGTAGCCCCGCACCCCCATGTAAGGACACAGAAATGCAGGCTGTGAGGAACGAGAGCTCACCAGACGGCAGGACTTTGATCTTCAGATTCCCCAGCTTGTAGACATGGGAGGAATAAACGTCTGCCGAAAAGGAAGGGTTTTACAGTGTGTGCACACTGCTTTCCTTTGTACAGCTTGTTCTATCAGAGCAATTCTCCTTCAGATGAGAATAATCCCGAGCTCCTTTGCTCATCAATCATATTTAAGGTGCATGAATTAAATCTGCTCACAAGATGAATAAACCTCTGTTGGTTCTCTGCACACATGCTTTGCCTCTAACACAAAAAGACTCACGATGGTGTGTCACCGTCTCGCACAGATAGTTTTCTGTGTCATTTTGATCAAAAACAGCTGGGATTTGAATCAATTAATCTGGCAGTGGAAGAGGAGGGGCAGGTGCCTTCGGAGAGATGAAATAACCAAAGAATGCCCTGGAAGGCCTTGAAGCCACCAGCCAGCAAAGCACAGGGTTGAGAGGCCTTGTGATCCTTTTTGACATAAGTTGTACGATTTGGTTATAAGACCTCTTTAGACCTTATCCCCATGATACAAAAATTGTCGTTGGTCAGTGCTCAGATTTTGAAGTTCCTTTTGTCTTGTAAAAAATTGCATTATAAAAAAAAAAGCCAGATGGTGGTGTGCACCTTTAATCCCAGCACTCAAGAGGCAGAGGCAGGCGGATCTCTCTGAGTTCGAACCTGGTCTACAGAGTGAGTTCCAGGACAGCCAAGGCTACACAGAGAAACCCTGTCTCAAAAAATATTATTATTATTATTATTATTATTATTATTATTATTATTATTTTGCATTATTAGGCTGGGTATGGTGGCATATGCCTTTAATCCCAGCACTTTGGAGGCAGAGGCAGGTGGATCTCTGTAAGGGTGAAGCCAGTTTGCTCTGCATAGCAAGTTCCAGCCTGACCAAGGCTACACAGTGAGACCCTGTCTCAAAACAAAACATCCGTATATCTGCATTATTAAGTACATAGCCTAGGAGTTACATACCAGTGACGGTAACAGGCCCTCAGCACCGTGAGTCGTGTGCACAGTTTATTTAACCTGTGGGGTTTTCTGAGAACACACTGTCTCTTGCAGTAAGGATAAAACCTTTGGAAACCCTGACCCCAAAAGTAGGTTTTTCAGAAACCTACTGGGCACTTAGAAGCCACTGTGAGGAATCCCTGCAGGAAGGTCCATCATGTACTTCTGGAGCACAGGAAGGTGGCTGTTAAAAGGAAGCTGCCCGTCCAGAAAGGCGGACAGACAGACCCACGGAGAGCTGCTGCTGCCGAGAGTGGTCCCGGCCTGGGAGCCACACACTGCGGTATGAGTTGAGGCTAGCTCATCTAACCAGATAGGAAAAGAAGAATAATGATTGTCATGAGCTGGAAATGGCCTAAGTAACTAAGTAGCTCCTATTTGCAGCCTTTGAAGCCTAGTAGTTTCTTCTTGTTAGAGACACACACAGAGCTTTTACCCTTGGAACGCTGCTGTCTAGACACAGCCACTCACTGGCTGTCACAAGTGAGCCCAGAGGCCTGCTAACTGGAAGGCACTCCCAGGTGGGTAGTGCTTGTTTAAAATGTCAAAGAACAGTTGTAGAAGAGTGATTACTCTCCCCAGTTCCTCCAGGACAAATGAAGAATCCTGTCTGTTTCATAAGACATAAACAAGGTATCCTAACTGTAAATCGTGCTATGCATTTCATATTGTAAAGGCAGCCAGTCCGAGAAGCTGCAGAGCCGTGGGGCAGTTCTCTGAGCATCTGCAAGTGTAGACATGGGCTAGCACCGGGCTGTCTTCACTCAGAAGACACTTCACTCATGACACAACGTGGCCCATCTTTCTCTTTGCTTTATTTCCTGGCCACCTGCATCAGGTGGAACAGTAAGTATGTGACCACAGGTGCTGAGCAACATTTTCCAGTAATGCCATTAAAAACAGCAGTAAAAAATCTAGTCAAAAATTATAATAACACGTTCAGCTCAGTTTATCCAAAACACTGAAATTTTAACTTGTAATAAATACTGTTTTGAAGTTGGAATATTTTATACTTTGTTGGAGCTCTGTGTTGATCATATACTGGGCAGCCAGGGCAGGCAGTGGCACACTTACATGGATTTGGGGGTGTTTCTGGGGTTTCAGGGACCTTTCCTGCTTTCCCTTGCTGCCACAGACTGATGACAAGTAGAGAGAAAGAGTTGCAGCCTCAGACCTACCCCCTTGGGTCACAATCCTGAACCATCCAGGAAATTGTGGGACCACAGAGAATTCCTTTGCAGTGAGTGGTCTAGGGACTTTTACATTGTGCCTCCAGTATATAAGTTTGTGATAAGAAACTCTGATAGAATTCTAGGCTATATAATTTTAAATTCTTTGAAGATATGGCTGCACAGTTCTTCAGGATAAGCCTGGAGTCGCATGAGACAGGATAAGGTACGGTGCAGAGCCTATGTGGACAGTTGCTTGCACAGGGTATGTTGCTGTGGATGGGGTGGTGTGGAGTATACCACGGTGCAGCTTCAGATTCTGGACCATGCCTGTGTCGGTGGTGCCTGCCCAGGGCCAGAAAAGAAGGGGCTGGGAGCCGCCTCTTGGCTCGTCTTGTTAGTGGATTTATTGCTGGAAGTCAGAAAAGACTCTCCTTTAAAGGCCTCTTAATTTTCACTGTGAAATCCAATGAAAAGAACAAAGTGAATGTACTGTCATAATGCAGCTAATTTTAATTTTTTATTTCAGCATACTGCTAAAATTTGGGATCAAGCCGTCTATCAATTACTACCAGGTAAGGCTTGCTTACCTTTAGCCTTCTGTCTAGAGTCTAGTGTTTGTCCCTGGGGACATTCGGCAGGATCCATTCATCTTGTGAGCCGCACCTGGGTTCTAAAATGACCCAGCACAATCTACTTGAAATGGATTTTCCTTGAATTGTTTGTGTTTGCACGTGAGTGTACGCTAAAGGCCGCTTAAGCCACTGACTTGGAGGCACAGATCCATGGTTCTACCAAGTCCTCCAGGCCTCAGCACAGGGTACATTCAATGTCATGGTGTTTGAGGGCAAACAAACTGGCTTTTTGTTTTTCAAGTAAACTACATGACACAGGAAATAATGTCACATCTTGTTGACTAAGAAGGACATGTGCAATGTAGATTCTTTCAATTCTGGATTGTCTGGTTTTTTGTTTGCCACAGAGAGATGTCCATCAAAAGCTTGAAATATACCTAGGCTCACAGGAGAGTTCGAAGACTGTTGCTTTAGGGCGATTCTCAGGTGGTTTTGTGCTTATTGTAAGGTGTGGCTCTAAAACAGCTCCAGAGGACCGTTTGGGACGGGATGGACACTGCAGTCTCTGCCTAATGACAGTGTGTGAACTGTCTGTAGGACTGTGTGCCCTTTTCCTGGGTGATGTGTAGCTCTCCTCCCTCTGTGGACAGTAGGGAGTTGGACCCTGGCCTTGAGGAAGGAACTTTGGCTGCCAATTAAGTTAGACCCTCCTGGGCAGCCACAGCATGAGGGTTTGTAAGGCTTCCCCAAGCTCACCTGGCTCCTGCTTAAGCTGATGGGCAGCGGGAGGTGGGGTAAGGTGGGGGTTTTTACAGTTTCACCTGGCTTGATGTTCAGAGATGGTATCCATGGTGATGGGAATGACAGCCGCCTGCCGAGCTGCCTCATATACTTGGTAAGGAATACCAGTGACTTGAAAACTCCTGATCCAAAAGCATCCAAGCCTGTGTCTGCTCACGTGCTCTATGGTACATTGGTGCTGCTTGAGTCCTGGGAGGAACTGGTGACCAGGCATTTTCCAGAAGTTGGTGGCTGGGGTGCAGTCCACAGCTTCCATGGGCCCTGAGGTCCTTGGGTGGTAGGGAGCACAGGTGTAGCCGGAAGGTGAGAGCATGTCTCTGGAGACCCTGGAGTAGAGGGTGCATGGCATGGGAACCGGGGTGGTAAGAGTCATGGCATGCTGTGAGACTTAGGCAGCACTGAGAAGTTCCTAATGAACCTGTGTCTTGAACAGTGTTCTGGTTGCCTGGTGCTAGAGACCAACGACAAAGGGAGAGATGACCTCTGGGGAGGGCCAAGGCTGAGCCATGTGGTAGCTGCTGGACTTGGCTTTGCAGGGCAGGCCCCAGCCTCTGTGGGACTCAGTAAGGGGAAGGGTGATAGGTGCAACCAGACAGTGTGAATTTGAGGGTCAAATAAGTCAGCAGAAGGGGATGGAAGTGTCCTGTGAAACAAGTCAAAGTCCACAGCAGAGAGGACAGGGGGACGTGGGTAGAGAAGCATCTGTTAGAGGAGCCATAGCAGAGACTGAGTACTTCAGATGTCCTCCTGGGAGGAAAGGAGAGGAAGAGGAGGATGCTCCAGAGTGGAGCGTGATGGGGGCAGGGGTGGTGTTGACCCTATGGTGGAAGAATTGGCAGCACACGTGGTCTAATTTTGTAGTACTTTTTTCCCCGTGGTGGGTGGAGGCTGTGCCCCTGCAGAGAAGGGGGGTGCTGTGGTGAAGGTCTGAGGAGTTGGTGGGCCTGAGGAAAAGCTTTGGGGAACCCCAGCAGTCAGTTGGCAGGGGTGGCTTTAGGCAAGGTAGTGTAGAAGAGAGAAGCTGGGCTGGGCTGCTGGAGACAGAGAATTGAGCTACCCGGTGGAGAGGAAGGTGGAGCAGAGAGGAAACAAACTGTTGGGGATGTTCGGACCTCCCTGGTAGAGCCTGGTAAGTTGGTAGTGACATGTCCTTCAGTGATGGTTCCAGGACATCCTCAAGCTTTACTCCAGGTCCTCTGTGTGTGTGTGTGTGTGGGGGGGGGGGGTGCTCTTTAGAAATTAAAAAAAAAATCGAGTGTGTGAGCATTCTCCCGTTGAAGTTCTTTGCTAATGCTTTTATTTAATATCAGCTTGCAGATTTCAAAGATGCACTTACCAGAATCTATGGCGTGGTGCCTAAAATCCAGTGCCTTCTGCCAGAACAGGTCAGACTTGCGCTTTGTCACCTGTTTGTCTCTGGAAAAGATGATTTCACTCTCCTGGTACTTCTGTCTCCACTGTGGAGTTTCTGGGACAGAGTTACATTGGGGCATTTCTGTGTATATATGTGTACAGGCAAGTGTATGGGAAAGCACATAGATGTCTTCAAGTAACTCATGCGTTTCTAAAATTTCTTCCTGGGGGGAGACATAAACTGCATCTGCTTCCCCTCTTAAGGTCTCAACAGCATACTGAGGCATGATTCCACCAGGGTTCACTTGGGGAAACCCATGAGTTTATTGAACTTAATTACAGAACATAGGTGAGGGGTTACCGACAGGGGCGTGGGTGCTACTCTCCCAGAAGGCCAACCAGAATGTCTACCCAGCAGGGATGGCTTTCCATAGCCACATCGATGGAGCCCCTCTAGTCTTCTCCGGCCTGTATATTCAAGCCCCTCCCGGAGACCTCCTGCAGTTAGTGTAGAGTTGGCTACAGGGGGAGATAGGAAGCAACTGGATATGCAGGTGAGGGTCACATGACCCTCCACCCTGCTGTGAAGGCTTGTAAACAGTTGAGCCCAGATGGGATGATGTTTTGCAAGCGGCACAGCTGAACTCACCAAGATGGCAGTTGTTTGGCTCAAAGACTAGTTTTGTGCAGCACTGTAGGCTTCGATTTTATGTCATTTCACTCTATGAGAATGTCCTGTTGGAGGAGGAAGGGGAGGGGAGGGGGAGGGGGGGAGGGGAGGAGGTGGGAAGGGACGGGAAGGGGAGAGGGAGAAGGAGGGGGAGGGGAGAGGAAGGAGAAGAGGTATAGTTCTAAGTTAAGCGTTTCTAAGTTTCCAAGATTTTTTTGTTTTGCTTTGTTTGTTCACGTATTTGTTAGGTTTTGTCTTTGAGACAGGGTTTCTCTATTCTATAACTGGCTGACCTGGAACTGGCTGTATAGACCAGGCTGGCTTCCACCTTACGGAGCGCCGCTACACCTGGCAGCTTCTAAGCTCTTATGTTGCCACTCTTCATCACTTTAATTGTAGCATACTGTCTAATTTCTAGACAAAATTGTAGTTTTTTTCCAGCTTATAAATGGCATTGAGATTCTTCTGGCTGCCAGGAACTGTCATCTTGACATTGACTTTGCCAGGGTCCCCATGTGCGCTTTGGGCACATTTGGGTCAGTGTGCATCTTTAGAGTCACTTGGTGGGTTTTTGTTTTTTGTCTTCCAAGCTGAAAACACCACCTCATGGCAGGCTTGCAGGCCAGCAGAGGTGAGCCATGGTGACGGTGAGGAACAGGACTCCACCCAGGGTCCCCCCTGAGCACCAGCCTCCTCTGTCTCTGGTCTGGAGCTGCTGCTTTTGTTATTTTCAAGCGCTGAAGTGCTGTGACCCCAGATTGGTAATAACCCATGGTTTCTGAATTCTGAGGTGTCTGCCATTTTCTGTTTTAGGGAGAGAAGGTGCAAACCGTTGGTCAGATAGAGTTATGCTTCACCAAGGAGGACTTCCATTTGCGGAACTGTACTGAGCCAGATGAGCAGCTGTCCTCCAACCGGGAAGCCTGGCCGGCCATGGGCACTTCCACACACGGGATGATGGTCTGTGAAGATGGTCCAGTCTTCTATCCTCCACCTGCAAAGACCCAACACTGACGTTCACGTTTAGGAAATAGTGAATGTTCCACAAAGTAAGAACAAGTCACAAATTATTGCTTTCTAAAAATCCACCCAAAAGTTCCTTAAAATGTGTTTGGCTGTTTTCTTGTGTGTTAATGAGGTGATTTTTGTGCAGTCTAATTAGTAGGTGTTCCTATGCTCTTCCTGTCAGCTGCCAGCAGTTGGTGTCAGCCTTATTTCCTGTCCCGAAGTAGCTAGATTCACACTGGTAATTCACAAGAACTTGGAAGTCTCGGCACAGCAATTTTTATTTTGGGTCAAGCTTAAATTATTCTGTTTCTTTCTTTTTTTTTTTTTTTAAATCTAAAAAAGTTTATTACTGTGTGTGTGTATGATTTGTGACATGTGTATGGGTGTGTGCACATACCATGGAACCCATATAGAGGACAGAGGACTGTTGCTTGATCCTAACGGCTCCCTCAGGGGTCGGGGTAAGAAAGCACCCAGTCTGTGTCCCAATCTGGTGGCATTGTGTGGTCATCCCTCCTTGGCTGGGCATGATCCGGAACTCTGACAGCACCTGTTGCTAGGTCCTTAGGCAGACTCCAGGTTGCTCATAAGGATGTACATTATGCGCATGCCTTGGCTACTGGTCTGAACCAATTTCCTCGACCCTATGGGGCCTATCCTATTACAAGAGGACAATTTTTGGGAATCATTTTCTCCAGCATAGGTTTTGGGGATCAAACCCAGGTCATCATGTTGCAGTGAAATAACACTCCCCAGTAAAAAATCACTTTACACTCTCAGGGAATGAGGACAAAGGACACTCTTTATAAGGACACTCTTTAATAAAGTGTGTGTCTGGTCTGGCAGCCTGGCTAGTGCCCAGAGACTGACCATGGGCAGAAATACTTGACACTTTATATAGATGTTGGGCTATAACATGGCACACATACATTGCCATCTGTAAATCTCCCTTAAGTCCCTGCGTGAGTTAACTTTGAGCAATTAAACATGTTTTATAGGGACAGACACTGCAAGTTTTGCCATTTTGGTGGGATAGTAGATTTACAGAGCAAGGATATTGTCACAATTATTTTTGAAATAGATTAATGTTGCTCTTTGCAAGTAATTGCTACCCAGGGTCATCTGCCTGTCTGACAGAATTATGTTCTTGGTAAGAGGGCCAGGATTTTATAGGCAGCTGTTTTCCAGTGCCACACCCCTTTGAACTAAATGGTAAAGATGTTCTTTTGATAGAAAATAGGGCCTGATGACCTACTGTGTGCCAAGGTTGTCCTTTTTGTTTTGGGAATAGGGATTAATGGGAGGTGGCAGTCTAAGTGAACAGATCTTAGCAGAAACATACTCTCAGTGAACCTAAACTTCAGTTGTGTCAGAGATGCAGTTTTCCTACAGTTTCTGACAAGTATGGCTAGTACACCACTTATCTTTGAGTTATGTTGGAGGCAGCACTCCTTTAGCTAAATTCTACTTTTTGTAACAATATTTCCTAAGCAAGTGTAATGGTAAGTCCTTTCTACATCAGCCGTTACTCCAGTCTTTATCCGTCAGACTTGTGCAGCAAGCCCTTTTCCCACGGAGCCGTTGCACTGGCCCCATCCATCCTGCTTGTTTAACAGACAGTAGGTGCAGGTATAATGTTAAAACATTTTAAATTTGCTTATCCTCAGAACAACTGTTTTCAAAAAACAGTATCATTAAAAACGTCTGTGTTGACTGACGTGACTGTCTCTACCAATTAAAGGCTTTCAGATTGGCTCAGAAGCAAAACCTGACTTGATGTCTGTAGGAGACACACCTGAAATGCAGTGAGTTTAACAGGATTTACCTGGTGCATGGGTCGGTAAAACAGCTGTCATTGTGGTGGGGTTGCAGGACCCAGTCTCCCCGCACAGGATGTGAATTTAGACGGTTGCTCTGTGGCCAGACGTTAGCAAGGATTTGATCAGAAGCAGTCCTTCAGCTTCTCTGTGTTAGAGGAAGGGGCTGGCCTTGCTTATTTGCTGGGATAGGGATGTGGCCTTGGGGGCTGTGCCGCACATTACCACAGTCCCTCTTCCTGACCTGTTCCTTTGCCCCTCCCAAGTGCATATCTGTTTCCAGTGCCCCTCACTTGTGGTTCAGAGGGTGTGCTGCTCTCTGGAACTTGTGGTTGGTGTTGAGTTGTGGGGAGGGCCCAGTTGGAAACATGGGTAAGTAAGGGGCTCGTCTCTTGTCTGGACTGACTGGCTCCTTTGGTGTTCTTTCGTAGGGGAATTGTGTGCCTTGGGCTTGTTTAGAAGAAGGTTTCCGCAGGAGGCTGTATTGTCTCTCCTCTTTACAACTGTTTGTTTTTGTGTTCTTGGAGGAGCCAGAGAGGCAGGGCTTGCAGCAACCCTCACACCCTACCTTAGTCTGCCTCTGTTTGAAACAAGCCATCCTTCTTCAAAAGGGGGCATATTTGTAATTGTAGTCGGTGTATTTCCTAAGAGCAGCCTGAATTCAGATAGGCTGGCGTGATGGAGGGCGTGAGATGAAATGGGTCATGTGAAATGCGTGTGCTGCAGTCCTGTGGTCCTCAGTGGTCCTCATGCAGGCTAAGCACAGTGAAATCCTGCTGATAGCACAGCAGGTCTCAGCACTGTCCTAGACCAGTGCTCTGATTTCCTGTTCCTGTTTGTGTTCTGGCCTCCTGCACAGCAGAAGGTACTAAGTTTCCAATAGCCTTGGCCAAGTCAGGTAAGTGTGTGGGATTTGATGAGCCAGGGGAGACATGGAGAGAGACCAGTTCCAAATACTGGTTTTCGAAGTCCGCAAACATGAGCTCACTAAAGCAGCTCTGACTGCCTTCTTCTCCCTGTAAACTTGACAGGGATGTTTAGGACAGGCCTGCAGGTGGGTGGGAACCTGCATTAGGGGTGAATTGTACATACAGTGTTTGTGAGCCTGGGACCGGTCCATCCTATGAGGTGTGGAATGAAGGCAGCCCTTCAGGGGGGCAGTTTGCTCAGTGAAGGACAGTCCTTTTTCCTGGAGCATCGGGGAAAGGAAGACCCTGAAGCTGGACCTGGAGGATGGCCAGAGTTAAAGGTAAGAAAGTAGATGCTGAAGGGAACAGACACATGGAGACTGTCCCCCAAACTAGCTCCTGCCCACAGTTTCGCTGCCGTCACCTCTTGCCTTGGTGTGTGTGGATCCTACCCAGGATGCTTTGCCCAGCCCTGGAGCAGTGCCTCCATTCAGGTAACTGCAGGTAACTGCATGATGTGGGCTGAGTGATCATCACTCGCCTTACATCCTTCTCAGAGCTGGCATTTGATGGCTTTCCCCACCTGTCAGTTGGACACCACACCCGCTCTTTTTGAAAGGACTTCAAAGCAAACAGTTTCACCTTAATCATGAAAAGCATCACATTGCGTTTTGCTTCCCATTTACCAACTTAGTTCAGAGCCTCACAATTTCTTACCTGGGCTATTCTACAAGCTTAACTGTGTTCATACTACAAATGCCACTCTGGACACCTGTCCCCCAGAGGATGGGTTTTCAGCCTACAGTTCACTGCTTTCCACTGGCCCCACTGATGCTCACCAAGGGTTATACCTGAATGCACCTTCCTGCCATGGATGACCTGGGACACACTTGCTCCAGTAAATGGGAAAATTCTCGCTGTGGCTTTAACACCCTGACCGACTGAGACTTGAGATGAGGTCCAGCAGATGGAAAGAGTTTTCCCCTTGGAGTCCATGAATGAGTATTCATTTTAGAAGATTTCTTTTAACCTCTGCATTTGCTCTGAAGTTATGTCAATACCACGTTCCTCATCATAGTCTGTATTCATTTCCTAGGAAGTCAGTGGACTCGGGCGTCCTGTTTCGTCCTATGAGTTAAGATCCATTATTTTCATGATGGTTCCAGTGGGAGTCCCCGGCTGGTGTCTGTGTCTGCTTCTCATGTGTCCCCAGATCCTGCCTTTCCAGGGAGACAAGCACTGTTCTGTACACACATTTATGTCTGAATTGACCTGCATATGCAGCACACCACAAGTTCATGCCAGTTCCAATTCTAATCTATTAGCAAGAGGATTTTTATGATCATTTCCCTTTCCATCTCAGCCCCCGTTTCTCTATTAGTAAACCTGGCTGCTCTTAGTCCCTTCAGTGTCTTTGCTTACTTAATGGATCCACTGCTTAGAGCTGAGCTCCTGCTTGCCGCCTCTGCCTCTCCATGTAGATGAGCATGCTCTGACTCCACACTGAGCTGCTTTCATTCTTCACCATCCTGAGTCTCTGATACCCAGAAAAAGGGAGGAAAAGGAAGGAAGAAAAATGTTACCAACTTTCAGTGCTTCGTTTTCACAACCTGTATCATGTGCATTCCCACGCACTAAAATTCTTGCAGATGTAAAATGCAAACAGTAGCATCAGAGAACACGGTCCATGTGTAGCAATACTAGATACGCTCTAAGAGCTCACACCTGGCTGAACATTTGTCCAGACACCCTGCTGTAAGGTTCTGCAGAGGGCTAAGTGCAGGAAGATTGCATTGGACATTTCTTTGCCCCCAAGTAGATGGACTCTAGGGTGGAGTTCACATCGAGAACCCCTGGAGGCTGAGGACTGAGGCTGTTGCCTCCTCTGCAGAGCTGAAGGAACATGACCTGTTTCTTTACCATGCTTCAATACCATCTTTTACATAACTTGTTCCTACCTTCTGCGTGCTGTTCTTAATGTTTCCTGGCCCTCTTGGGCTGTTTGTACCTCCCTAACCCCGTGGAAAGATGGAAGCCGCTCTCCAGGCAGCCTCCGGCAGCAAAGCACAACAGAGCTCGTCAGCGGAACAGGGAGGGTTCAAGGGAAGGCCGAGCAAACAGGCGATGTTCCCTTGTCAAGAGCTGGCAGGAGAGAAATGGCCTTGAGCTGCTGGAGAGACGCTGCTGCTGTGATGACATCTGTACGGAGTCTCTTAGCACAACACAGTAGAGCCACACTACTCCTGTCCAAGCCCTGGGGCCTCCTCACATGGGTGAAGTTTGAATCTTCCATTCGGCATACTCTTCTCCAGGATGGCTCTATGGTGACCCTCCCTCTTAGACTTCCCTTGTGGTAGGTGGTGGTTGCCTTTGTGGGGGACCTTCCCCCACTTTTTCCAGGGTACTCTTGAGGACAGAGGTTTAAGAAATATTAGTTGGAATGATAGGCCTAGTCAATGAGAAGAAAGAAACACTGGATAGCTTTGGGAGGACCTGGGTCAATACCCAGTGGCCCAGAACTTTATTCAGAAGGGCTTTTTATAAAAATGCCAAGAGGCAAGACAAAACTCCTCCCCCTTGCTAGATACCGCCAAGTGCAGAGCCTTCCAAACACTTAGTACCCAGGCCCGTGGTCCAATCATCCTCTTACACAATCCTGCTAGTAAAGCAAGCTCAGATCTCACTACGAAACCTCTGTGGGCTCCCACATGTTCTAAGACCCCCTCCTCTTTGACTTGCTACAGACTTCTGAGGAGCAGATGGAGGAAGACAAATTTGAGAATGATGGACAGTTACTGCATGGTCAGTATCTGTCAGTTTGGTTGCTTGTGTGCCATGCCTTACTGGCTTTACCCCAAATGAGAAGCCAGTAAAAGAAACACGATTCCTATATAGGCCTCTGGTGAAACTATGTCATGTACCAGGACCCAGGCAAGACTTTGCCAAGGTGCTACCAAGTCATCACCAATCTGACCTCAGCCCCTCACCAGCTGTGCCGGGTCTTCTGTAAGCTGTTTGGTGGATCAAGGTCAGATACCAAGGCTAGTCTCCAGCCACAGTCCACATCCCCATTTTCTCTCTGATTCCGAGACATGGTTTTATCCTTTTAAAGTTGCATGTGCTTTTTATTGGGATGGTTAATCAGTAGACAGAAGTTCAGGAAATCCTGAACAGATGCATCTGGATGTTCCTGTGTCAAGAAAACCCATGACAACTAATAATGCCATCAATAATAGTTTGTGGGGCTGTTTTAAAGTTAGTAATACTAAGTTAGCATTTGTGAGTGGAAAGCAGAGAATGTGGCTGGGGGCAGCACACAGGCCATAGGAGAGGGGCATTAAAATGAGTACACACAGTCTCATAAAATCTGCTGTGTAGGTATTTATGTGTGTATATGTGTGTGAACACATGGCATGGCATGCATGTGGAGGTCAGAACAGATTTTGGGAGTCGTCTTTCACTTTGTAGATAATTGGGGATTGAACTCGGGTTGTCAGGCTTAGCAAGAGCTTTTACTCCGTGTGCCATCCTGTTGGCCTCGGAGTAACATCGTAGCTTAAGAAAAATGTCCTTGATTCTGGCCTGAAGGACGTGTGATGCCGAGAGTGATCATGAGAAACGGAAAAGCACCCAGAGGATGTAGAAGGATCAATTTAGACATTCTCATAAAATCGTCATGCTGTACTTCCTCTCAACAACGCTGGAACACAGCAACAGGAAGGCTTCCATCTGCGTGATGCAGGGCTTTTGAGTGACAGGCCCTTTTGTGGCCCGGTAGTGCACCACCTGAGGACCTGAAATACTGGACACTCAGAGTCATGAAAGAAAGACCGTGAGCAGTGAATCCAAGTTCTTTGTGTCTCACACCAAAGAAGATTAGAGACTCAAACGATAATGGTGTTATGCAAAGTGAGAGCAAGCTTTATTAAGAATTATTACAGGAAAGTGGGAAACTGAGGAAAAGTGAGAGCAACTCCCAAGAGTGGGAGGGGTTTCAAGAAAGGAAAGAAGCCCTTGAATGTCCTTTGTCCAAGAGTTTTATAGGGCAGCAGTAGAAACTGGACAAATGCTGAGGCAATCCTGATTGAGATTGGTAGATTTTCTGAGTCATCATGGAGGGTGCAGACGGAAGCCCACACATTCTGTGCACGTCCCCCTGGCTCCACCAGGTGATGGTGATGTGATGTTCATGTGCTTCCCAGCCACCCAGGTGTAGTTCGGAGCTTTCTCTGCCCATGTCTGACTCTGGCTTTGACCGTGACTGTCTTAGCTGTCTCTTGGCCAGTGTTACTACCCTCCGACCTTGCTGTGAATTATACTACACCTTCGCATGACCAGCTTGTAGCTTTACCATGGCAGAGAGTTAACTCTATCATGGCTGCTAGGGTACAGTTTGTGTGTGTGTGTGTGTGTGTGTGTGTGTGTGTATGTATGTATGTGTATATATATATATATGTAGTGGGTAGCCATTCCAGCTTTGATCTGGAAGTTCCAACCCCCATGGAGGCTTAGGTAGCTGTCACGCCTACAAGGCGGGGCTGAGAGAGGACCCTGAATACCTGAGATCTGGATGTGCCAGCTCTCTCGGTTCCTGGAACCTGGACGCTGGAGACAGACCGAGCAGAGTTCTCCAGACCGCCGGACTGCGCTACACCTTTCCCAGACCCTGTAGCCTATCCCTTCACTTGTAAGTTACCCCACAAAATAAACATCCCTTTTAACTATGTGGAGTGGCCTTATATATATAGGTTACTTCATAGTTAAAGGTCTTGCACCAGAAAGACTGCATGGAGATAAGTGAGCAGGGGAGAAGAGTCACCAAAAACAAGGAGAGAAACAGCATCTAACTGTCAATGAAAACAAGGCTACAGGTCTGGGAATGTTTTGTTGACATGTTTATCCAGATCCAGTCTGTTACTTTAAAAGTTCCTTCCTTCAGCAGATAGCAGAGCCAGAATGGTGGCTCACACCTGCAGTTCTAGCCTTCAGGAAGTCACAGGAGGATTGCTGTGAGTTTGAGGCCAGCCTGGCTCCAGAGTGAGACTCTGTGTCTCAAACAGACTAAAATGAAACAAAAAAGATTAACCATAAAATTAAAAGCCAACAACTACCCAACAAAACCCAAGCAAAATGGGAAGGGGCGCTCAGGAGAGACTCGTGATTTCCACTTCTGCTCCACCACAAACAGCTTACGATACTTGTTTTCGTTACACATCTGTCCTTATTCATCCAGCTACCCTTGTACACATTCACAAAGTATACCGTCTGTATCATTGACTGGATTTCAATCTTTGGCCTTTTACTCCTAATGTCAAATTTACATCCAACAAGGCTGGTGAGACGGCTTAGTGGATAAAGGAGTCTGTCGACAAGCCTGAGGACCTGAGTTCAAGCCCTGGGCCCCTTATGGTGGAAGCAGAGAGCTGACTTCTGCAAGCTGTCCTCTGAACTCTCCACACGTACACCCACATACACAAAACATCCACATTGTACACAAATAAGTAAAAACTATAGTAAAAATTTAAGATTGACATCCAGCAAGATGCTCATCAAGTGTGCATCAACTTCACTTGGACTCGTGTACTCATTTGTACCATGGCCTGGACAACAGTGGTGTACTTCCTCCAGCAAGGCCGTACCACTTACCCAAACAGTGCCTCCACCCAGGGACCTAGTGTTCAGCTACTTGAGCCTATGGGGGATATTTTCCATTCAAATCCGTACAAATACCTTCTCACCCCTCTGGTTTGTGCTGTTACCTACACACACCCGCCTCCAGGATCTTGCAGTGCAGCTCAGACTGGACTGGTCCTTTTGCCTCAGGCTGCCTAGTGCTGAGATTTCAAGTATGCCCCCGATCACTCTGGGTGTTTAAAAGTTGAACTCCATCTAGGTCAGCAGTTCTGAACCTGTGGGTCATGACCCCTTTGGAGTCGAATGACCCTTTCACAGGGGTTGCCTAAGACCGTTGGAAAATACAGATGTTTATATTACAATTCATAACAGAATCAAAATTACAGTTATGAAGTAGCAACAAAAATGATTTTATGGTTGGGTGTCACGACATGAACTGTATTCAAGGGTCACAGCGTTAGGAAGGTTGAGAACTGTTGGTTTAGGTAACGCCTGCGGCTTCTTCCCACCGTCTTTTCAGCTGCTGAGCTGCTTGTTCAGTGGAGTTCTGTAACAACTTGACGATTAGTCCCACCCTAAAGGGGATTTTCATATTCTGCAGTAAGAGTAGCTCTCATGATATAATATGTAATAACCCTTTTTATTACTCTTATAAGCAAATTTCTAGGCACTCTGTAGACATTAGGGATAAAATGCTGAGAACTCATCTATCCACATTAATTCTTGATGAGGAAAGAGAACAAGTGGAGGCAAAGCCCCAGGGAACAAACGCGAAGTCATGTGACACATGGAGGACATCCTTATAAAGGCCTAACAAAGCACATGGGGTTAGGAGTCCTGGATAGATCTGGTGAGCAGAATGCTGTTCACGACCACACAGGCTGCATCCAAGGTAGTGCTGGTGACTCCTAACATTGCAGATTCTCGAGCTATCTAGTGTTGTACCTGGACAACAGCCCACTGTGGCCTTGGGAGAACTCAGGGATGCCCTAAGAAGCAAAGACTGGGGAGAGGATGACCAGTCATTTGCTAACAGGATAGAAAAATCAGTGTTTGTAGAATCAATAACAATATGGCCAAAAATCTTAGACATTTTTTCTAATTTTTAAAACATGTTTTTAATTGAAATGTGGTGGCCCACAGAGGCTATCTAGTGAGACCTTACTCAGGGTCAGAGAATCTGAGCTTGCTTTACCCAGCAAGGCTGCATAATTGGATGATTTGACCACAGGCGTGGTTACCAGGTGTCTTGAAGGGTCTATATTTGGCTGTATGGTGTGCTTTGATCTAGCAAGGGGGAGATCTTTTTTCTCTCCCCTTGGCATTTGTATAAAAAGCCCTTTTGAATAAATGCCTGGTGCGACTGGGTATTGACACAGCCCCCCCCCCCCAAGCTACCCTGTGTCTCTGTCTTTCTTACCATCTCTTTCTATCTTTCTACCTAATATTTCCTCATTCCTCTCTCCTCCACCTAAGAACCCCTTGAAAGGTGGGAGCAGGTTGGAGCTGGTCTCCCACAGACTCCCACATTGAAATATAATTATATTACTTTCTTTTTTTTCTTCCCCCAGCCCCTTCCAACCACCCCTCTTGAGCCCCTCCCATGTCTCCCTCCTCAAGTTTATATCTGCTTCTTATCACGTGAAATGGAAAAGCAGGGAGGTGTGGCCAACTGGGGAGAGAGTAGGTAGGTAAGTCAATACAGGAGTGATGAGAGACAGCACCAAGGTGGTTTGCTAAAGCCTCAAGGAATCATATTGTATATTTACCTAAAATTGCAATATATGTTCTAAATTATAAAAATATATATATATGGAAGTTAAGCTACTTGGCCAGCAATGCTCCCCACAAGAACCACAGATTAACAAAAACCATTAGTACCAGGCACAAGAAACTGCCTGGTTGGTCAGGGTAGTCCAAATGACTCCTGAAACTATCAATTATGAACATAGCTCCAAGTTGCCTCTCTCAGGTTGAAGGTGGGCCCTGTTGTTAAATACACTGAACTCTTCCAGACAGGAGACGTGGATGATTCAAGCTGGATCTGACCTGAAAGCTTTCTTTCCTTCAGTCTAGCTTCCACAGTTCCAGAAAATATTATATAAGCTGCCAAGGGAGGAAGCAACTGAGCAGTCCTACCCAGCTGCAGCACCTATGAAACGCCCACAATGATGTAATGAGATTGAGAGAGGTAACAATTCCCTCATTCCTATCCCCATTGGCATGCCCACCCACAGGGGGGAAGCCAGTGTGTGGAGCTCCTGAGAACACAGCTGCTTTGACCTGGTGGGCCATTCTTCCCCACTGCTCCCTGGACCCTGCTCCCGGACCCTGCTCCTGGACCCTGCTCCCTGACCCTGCTCCACACACCACTGCTGGGAGGCTTTGTCTCTTGTAGCTTGGCAAATACTCCCTTCCTGGCTCTGGGTTTTTGAAGTACTGGCTCCCATGCTGTGGCTTAAGTAGGAGATTGTTCTTTCTGTCTGCCCCAGAGCTAGGAGAATTCACTGACCACTTCTGTGGTTGGGAATCTTGAATACTTACACACACACACACACACACACACACACACACACACACACACACACACACACATTCCCAAGCTTTACTGTTGCTGGTAGTAAAGAGAACACCCTGGTTCTGTGGACTAAGAAGACTCCATCTGGTCACATGACAGAAGATAACGGAATCCCCTTCCCTCCAGGGGTCCTGTTCCTTCTGTAACTGGGCTTTACTCACACTGCCTGAGGTGTCATGGGCTGAGATGGCTCCCACCTCTCCCTGAGTCCTGACCTTATTTGGAGTTTTCTCTTCCTTCAGCTCTTGCTCAATTGAATCTGCTTTTATTTACTTTTTTTTTTCTTATCACCTCAGAGATTTTCCTTAAGGCTACACAGCCATGTGCATTTCTGTCTTGTGAGAGGAGCCATGGGCTGGATGTCCACACTTGCACTGAGCCTGGTCCTCGAGCTGCTTATCTTGTGTCTGTGCTTAATCCATAATTGCATCCCAGTTTCTCAGAGCAGTTAGCTTAGATGACCACAGCCAAACCATGATCCACAATACAAGCACTAATAAGAATATAATTTACCCAATTACTAATGGTTCAACTTTTGAAAGTAAGTTTTAGACAGATGGTTCATTAAAACATAATGGAAAATATCAAAAGTGTTACAGACACATCTATGCATAGTACTTAGAACTCATGTTTTAAAAGAGTCATTTATTCTGAATAAGGAGAAAGGTAGAAGAAGCATTTATCCTAAGCTTGCTAAAGGAAGATTTCATGCATATGTTCATGATAATGATTTGTCTGCCTATCTTATTTTCCATTTTTAATTACGTGTGTACGTGTGTGGGTTTGTGCACGTGAGTGCAATACCTGCAGAGGCTAGAAGAGGTGTCAGGTCCCCTGGAACTGGAGTCACAGGCAGTTGTTAGCTGTCTGACGTGGGTATTGAGACCTGAGCTTGGGTCCTCTGCAAAAGCAGTACCCACTTCAACAGAGAAGTCATCTTTCCAGCCCTATCTACCTATCAAATCTTACACAGTAGAAGACACCAGAAGGGAACTGCTGTTGCCCGTTGCTGTTGGTTAAGATGCTTTTTATGTAGATACGCCTTTTAATTTAGTCTTTTGAAATTCTAATTCTGCATGCTTAAGAAGTTATTCTTTAAGGCACATAGATAATTACCTGTATTTTCTTTGTTGCTACGTTTCACATTGTAAAAATTTAACATTTATTCTACTTGTGCATGAACAGAGGGGCAGAGGAACCTTTTGTGGCATGTCCATGGAGGTCAGAAGACAGTTTGCAGGTATTTGTTCTTGCCTTTCACTATGGACTGGATCCCAGGGATCAAACTCAGGTCATCCGGCTTGGCAGCAAACACCTTTCCCTGCTCAGCTGTCTTCTGGTCCTCTCTTCACATTTTATGATAATGATTAAAATCATCCCTAACTAACTTTGCGTATTTGGGAAATAAATCAGGTTTCCTGCTCTAGTATAGTTCAAGTTCATAGTCATGTGCCCAAGGCTTTTAGACTTTGTATTATTGAGGTGAGGGGAAAGATGATACCAAAGAGGAAAGG